AGTCTCAAGAGTGTGAGACCAGCCTGAGCAAGAGGGAGACCCTGCCTCCACTAAAGACAGAAAAACTAGCCAGGCATTGTGGTGGGTGCCTGTAGTCCTAGCTACTCGGGAGGCTGAGCTGGGAGGATCACTTGAACCCAGAAGGTAGGGGTTGCTGTGAGCTAGGCTGACGCCATGACACTCTTTTCCAGCCAACAGAGTGAGAGTCTATCTCAAAAAAAAACAAACAACAAGAAAACTACCTATATCCTGTATATTTAATGATGAGCCTGTCTCTCTAAAAATCATGAAGTCATCACATTTTTTAAAAAGAGGGATTCGGACTGGCCAGTGTTTGCTATGAAGTCTGCTGTTTGTATCTGCGGGGGTGGCTTTGTGCCCTCAACTCAGGAACTGAAAATTTCTGGGGGAAAAAAATTGTATCTATGCTGAACAGGTATAGACTATTTTTGTCATAATTTTCCAGGCATTATAGTGTGATGGCCGTTTACGTAGCATTTACGTGGTGTTAGGTATTTTAAATAAAATACCAGAGATGATTTAAGTAATGCAAATGCTATGATGTGTTCTATCAGGGATTTGAGCATCCGTGGATTTTGGTATCTGTGCCTGGAGTTGCATCCTCGAGGGATATAACTGACTATTTTTCATTAATTCACACCCCACCCCCACCAGGCTGTCTCTGAAATAAATTGTGCAGAATCACTGCCACCTATTGGCAATTTATTGAGTTACTCCTGGTTTGGGGGTTTTTTTTTTTTTTATATTTTTTAATTTTTATTCTGGGGAAAGTGAAATCCTGACCCAAAAATAAAATAAAATAAATTCTTAAAAAGGACGGAGTTGGGTGGTGCCTGTGGCCCAAAGGAGTAGGGCGCAGCCCCATTCTCCAGAGGTGGTCCCCGGCTAAAAAATTGCAAGAAAAAAAAAAAAAAAGGACAGGATTATTTTTATAAATTGTGATAACTGAATAAAACCTAGTTCTGAAGCCTTCTTTCTTTCTGAATAACTATTTTGGTCTATGATGGCAGTGTCCATGGCTAATTCTGTGTTTTTCAAAAGTAAGTCTGAATTTTTCATATATAGAGAGAGAGAGATACATGCATACACATTAATATGTTTACCAAAAATGGGCAGTTCTGATCCTCTCAGTCAAGTCTTTTGTTCTACAGTATTTTGGGTGGGGAAATATAGTTAATTAAAAGATTAGGGCTGCCCTTTGTTTATGACCTGTGATGCCATGACCCCCTATGGAGAGTGATAAAGTGAGACTCTGTCTCTAAAAAAAAAAGGAGGAAGAAGATTGATAATCTCAAATTTGTTGATCTTATACTCTATAAACTTGGGACATTTCTATACTTATTTAGCTGTTCTCTCAATACTATCATTTTTTTTGGTAGCAGCGTCAAAAATATTCTGTTTCTCCTATTTTGGATTTTTGTTGGGTTTTCAAGCTATTTCAAACAACATCATTTCAAAAATTAATTTTCCCCTTTCATTGAAATCCCAAGTTCTTCTTTGAAACATTCCTATCAATGGGTTCCTCAGCCTCAAATCGTAGGTGAGACTTCCACTCACCTTTCCGGTTTTTTGGTGGTTTTTTTTTTTTTTGAGACGGAGCCTCAAGCTGTCCCCCTGGGTAGAGTGCAGTGGCATCACGCTCACAGCAACCTCCAACTCCTGGGCTCAAGCAAGTCTCCTGCCTCAGCCTCCCAAGTAGCTGTGACCACAGGCACCCGCCACAACGCCCGGCCATTTTTTGGTTGCAGCCATCATTGTTGTTTGGCGGGTCTGGGCTGGGGATTCGAACCCGCCACCTTAGGTGTATATGGCTGGCGCCTTAGCCGCGTGAGCCACAGGCGCCGAGCCTTTTTGGTGGTTTTTGACAGGAAATAAGCAGTTTCTCACCAATTGCTAAAAGTGGAAAAAAGTCTCACTACAGTTCCTGAACTGATTTGTATATTTATATTTTTAGTGTTTCCCACCTTCAGGCAGTAGTAACTTTTTTTTTGCAGTTTTTGGCTGGGGCCAGGTTTGAACTCACCACCTCTGGTATATGGGGCCGGTGCCCTACTCCTTTGAGCCGCAGGTGCCACCCAGCAGTGGTAAATTTGATGACACTGTGGTCCACAATGCAAGGGGTGTTTTCTTTCTTTCTTCTGTCTTTCTTTCTTTTCTTTTCTTTTTTTTTAATTTAAATCATAGCTATGTATAATAATGCAATCATGGGGTACAATGCTCTGGTTTTATATACCATTTGAAATATTTTCATCAAATTAGTCAACATAGCCTTCACGGCATTTTCTTATTGT